TGGACTTTTATGGACCTTTCTGTCTCGGGCACCATAGACCTCCATTATTAAAAAAAAAAAAAATAGCAAGAAGCCTCCCAGATCTCCAGATGCATTTGAGATATCAAAAAAGTACTCCAGAGTGTTGTTCAGCATGGGGGTGAGTAGAAAATGAAGGCTAATCATGTTTTGGGTGTAATATTCCTTTAAAACTGTTTGTTGAGTCCTCTCGGCCGTTAACAAAGAAAACTAGACATGTTGTTGATGACGTCTTAACAGATCAAGAAATTTATCGCCTAAGGAAACTGATTTTGAAAGTCAGAGCCCAAGCAACTACTGCTGATGAAGATGAGGATATTTAGAGAAACGTTTTATGTTTCTTTGTGCCTTTTCTTTTGTTTCTTTATCGCTATGTGTGACTTCAAAATAGGCACTTTAAATATAAATGGTGCCAGAGATGAAGTGAAAAGGGCTGAGTTTGCAAATTTGCAAATGTGAATTGATTAATTTCTTGTTAGAAAAGGCAAAAATGGCCGTGTACATAAGTAGAAAGAGGAAGGTGGTGGAAGATTTGATTATTGACTTGGTTTCTTTGTTTATTAACTTGGTGAAGTCTACTTGAATACTTGAATTTAATTTTTACAGATCAGTTTCAGATTTAGATACTTTCTGTCACATCTGGAGTTATGGGAAAGTAATTTGTAGTGTGGTAGGAGGAGAACTAATTTTTGGAAAAGTGTTAATGTAATATATTCTTTGGTGTTTGTTTCTTGTTGTTGTTATTTTTTTCTGTTACATAGTTTGTGATACTATGTCGATTATTTATTGATAATAAATGAGTTGTTAAAATCTCAAATATCTCTTTCTCTCTCTCTCTCTCTCTCTCTCTCTCTCTCTCTCTCTCTCTCTCACTCCTCCCTTTCCGTCTCTATAATTTTACTCCCTAAATAAAGTTCAATGTAGTTTAATATATAAGTTCCAATATGAACCTTATGGCAGCAGCCGTGCTGGTCTGCCTGTGAGAGCAAAGCTATTGGGCTATCAGCTAGCATCTAGCTGTGGGACATCTATTCCTAGAGCTAGATTGGCTAAATGGGACAGAAAAAGATAAAATCAAGAAAAAAAAAGATAATCAAGAATGAATGACTCTGGGCGTGCAGGTGGCGCAGAGGTTAGTGCACTCGACCCATGTATGGAATCCGACCTGTAGTCCTTTGCCGCATGTCTCTCCCCGTCTCTCTTACCCTTTTTACTGTCAGCCTACTGTTGAAAAAATGAGCCACTACTGCAGTAAAAAAAAAAAAAATGAAGTCCTCTCTGCCTGAAGCTGCTTCAGTGATTTTTCTCTATAATCTGAGATCAGCCAGCGATCAGCTCCATGCTGCCTGGAAAACCTTGTTTCTCAGATCATCCCACCTTGAAGGAATCATTCCAGGTAATGTTTCATGGCTGACACCTTTGTGCCAAAGACTGACCAACCACCAGTCAGTCTTTGTTGCTTCGTTACTTCTAGAAAAGAGCTGAAAGCCTGAGTTCTTTGAAGTCTGCGTTTAAAAGCCATAAATTTAGAATCATGATTTTAAGGTTGTGATTGTTTGATTGGTTTCACTACCTGCTTTAATCATGTTTTATCTTTATTTGCTTTTTACTGCTTTTATTTTCCATCTATTTTATATTTTAATTCATGTAAAGCACTCTGAATTGTCCTTGCACTGAATTCATCCCAGAGGTGTTGTTAGTGTGGAGGGCCACCAGCGCGGCCCCTCACTGGTAGGGCCACATGCTGATAGGGGCCGCAGGCAGTTGCCAACTCTGCCTCTATGATAAGTTCAATCGTTTCCATGTCAAATAGAGACAAATGTTCCCTAGAAAGTCCTTTTATAATATTATTTGAACAAACCAGGGAATAAGAAATAAATAACTGTGACTGCTAGAAAAAGCTGATGAGGTTCAGAACAAATTCAGCCTGCGTATAGATACCGCACAAAGCAATATCTGATGTGATTAAACGTGCGATCTATAGTACAATCACTTAATAATGATCGCATCTTTTTTTAACTAAACAGAATTTTTGGGGACAGTCAGTTGTGGTTCTTTAAATCAGTAAACAAAAATCTGAAACTGGAATTTGACTGATACCAGTCCCTTTGCTCTGACTGCAAACTTAAAATGCAAGTTATTAACAGAAAGGATCAGGAATTTTGTTGTTAAAGTATCTTCAATATAAACAGACTTTAAGTGGACTCACCGCAAACAGCAGGACCGCCAGCAGGAGCCCAGAGAGTCGAAGCATTGTAACTGGGAGAAAACTCAGAGTCTGGGTGCGTGTGCTTCTCGTCAGAAATGACAAGCAGCACCAGCGCAGCTTTATCTTAAAGAAGCAGCTGACAATGTGCCAAATATTTTAATCCCCTCAGGTTAGGAATGTATGACTTCAGGAGAAAGTATGTTAATTACAGGTTCCATGACACACAACCAATGCTAACATCAAAGGTCAAAGTTCCACTGAAGAGATAAAGCAGAAAATCGATAACCATAAATAATTAAATCTTTTTAATAAAGCTCCTTTAAACCCGGAAGAGCTGGACTTTCAAACACCTTTTAGGCCTTTAACGTTTCTTAACAGTTCATTTTTATAATATATTAATATGAATATGTAGTATAAGTCTTTTTTGATCCATCTTTGAAAGACAATTTTTTTGACTGCCACTACCTCGATGAAAGAGTGTTTGTCAGTCTTGGGTACTCTAGCCAAACTGAGATTAGCTGAGTCTAACCTGAGCCTCTGTTTCACTGAGTTTTAACATTGTTTTTTGTCTTTGCCTTTCAGCAGAAAGCCTTCCTGCAAACTGGATGTTTGGCCTTCCCTTCCTGGAAGGATCGTTTGTATTCACACTCAGTGGGGGATGACTCTGCAGTAGTTGGATGCATCATCAATGGTGAGGAGCTGGAGTACAGGGGTGTGATGGACAACCTGGTGTGAGCAGAACCATCAGAAGCTCATCGTGGCAAAGACCAAGGGGCTGGTGGTGGATCTGAGAAGGATTCAGGCCCCAGTGGCCCCTGTTTCTATCTATGGGGTCAACATGGACAATGTGAAGGATTATAAATACTTAGGCGGGCATTTGGAAAATAAACCGAACTGGGCTAAACACAAGAAGGGCCAGAGCGTCTGTATTTTCTGAGGCTGCTGAGGTCCTTCATCATCTGCCTGACAATGCTACAGATGTTTTATGAGTCTGTGGTAACCACTGGCATCCTTTATGCTGTTGCATCCCGGCGCAGCACACTGAAGGTGAAGGACGCCAACAGACTTAAACTTCTCCTCAAGGCCAGTCAGGCTGTTGGAGAGGAACTGGACTCTCTGACAGCAGAATGTCCACCAGGATAAAATCCATGCTGGACGATTCTGCTCATCCTCTCCATGATGTGCTGGATGCCCACAGAAGCACCTTCAGTCTCATTCATCTCATTCACTCATTCATCACGCTGCTCCACACAGAAAGTCCTTTTATTTTATTTCATTACTTATTATTTATTTCATTACTTCACTATGCACCATAACATGATCATGTGCAATAACTGTAATTTGGTACTAAACAACATGGTAAATAGTAAATACTGAGATCCTTTTTTATTTTATTGCAATATCCTATTTCAAACAATTTATATGGGAAGGGTGTCATTTCACAGTGTGGGTTGGAATTTTGCTTTTTCTAATATTAATTATTATAAATATATATTAATTTTATTCTATTTTATGATACTATATTTTATTTGGCTTTATCATACTTACAATCTCATTTTTCTCTCTATTCTGTAAATGGTTGCACTGCAAGAGAAGAATTTCCTGCAAGGGATTAATAAAGTAAACAACGGACAGAGAGATGTAAAGGGAGGTGAGAAAGAGAGAGAGAGAGAGAGAGAGAGAGAGAGAGAGAGAGAGAGAGGGCATGAAAAAAGAAAATAAAACAAAACATCAAAAATAGACACAGATCTACAGTATCTTCTAGAAGTCTGCTTCCAGGTATCCCTCAGATATCCATGTGTGTGTAAGGAAAACCTGTGGTGATTCAATAATATTAAGCAGGGTGGCTGTCGGGTTCATAAATGTAGGTTTGCAAAAGAAGAACTGAAATACACAGTAATGGATACAATTTCTGCAGAAAAGAGAGACAGTTGAAGCCCAGACTCAAACACACTGTCTCCCACTGGACCTGCTCCGCAGAGCGTTTATTAACACAACATGACGCATGGTTACAAACAGAGTATTGTTCTGACAGAACAATTGATCGGTTCATAAAGACAGAATGACACGGCAGGATGGTCTCCTGACTGAATCATGAGACAGGAGTGGAGCATCCCCTCGCACAAATGTTTTATAAGCTCATATTAATTTTATAATCATCATTGAATAAACCTAACAGTGGCATAGATCTGTAGCTGCAGATTAGCATTTATTATTATTGTCAATCTGTGAACACCTGGAACCAAATGCATGGCCATGCTCGTATAAAAAGGATTCACAAAGCTTCGTCAGAGGGAAAGTCAGCGACCCCAGACTGGCCCTACCGGGCCCTGGACCGATATAGAGGCGATCTTGGCCCCAGATATCCAGAGGGTGTCATGATTTTTTTCAGAGACCCACATGCATTAAACCACTCAGAGAACCAGGGCAAAAGTTGAACAGGTTTATTGAAAAGATCAACGGTGGTAGGATTCAGGAAACTCAGTGTACTGGTGAACCGGAACTCGAAGTGGGAAGGGAAGTATCAGAGGTTAGTTCAGGGGCCGTGGGAACTTTGAATGATGAGTTGGAGAAACAGAGAAAAAGGGACTAATGTTAATGGAGAAAATTTTCTTCCCAGAATGCAGTCTGTGTGGGATTAACCAGAGGTAGAAACTCGTTGGAGAGCGGACGAGTTTTGACTTGGTTGGATCCTGAGGAGTTATGGAGCGGACTGTCACTTGGAAAACCAGGAGGACTTGAACGGAACTTGTGGAGGTTTATCCCCTGCTCAGTGTGAGACTT